GCCCCCGCCCGGGCCTGGGACCACGCGCCCCGCCGCCTCGACCCGGCGCTGGACGCCTGGGCTTCGCAGTCCTCACTGTGGGCGCCGGGCCCAACTTGCGGCCTCCACTGCGCCCAGGCCGGGCGTCCACCCCGCAGACCCGGCCCACCCCGCCCGCCGCACGTGCACTCACCATGGCTGCGGTCTGCCAGCCTCTCTGAGACCCGACCACCGTCCGCCACCGACAAGCCCAGCGCAGCGCAAAAAGCGGAGCGGAAGCCACCGACTGCGCGACAGGAAGCGGAAGTGGCGTCACCTAGAGCGGGCAGGGGAGCCTCGACATCTAGCGGGCGGAAGCGACATACTTGTCGCTGAGTGACCGAGCGCGTTTTGCTATTTTTTTTTTATTTTATATTTTAATTTATTTATGTTAAATTTTTATTGGATGTTTATCATACACATCTTTTAAAAATTTTTCTTTCTTCATTTTTATTTCATTTATATGCGTCTATTGCATGTATGCAAATGCACCCATGCAGTGCAGTGCCCTCGAAGATCAGAAGAGGGCATCGGATCCTCAGGAACTGGAGGTATGGAGGGTTGTTAGCCGCCGTGTGGGTACTGGGAATCGAATCTGAGTCCTCTGCAAGAGCAGCCAGTGCGTTAACTACTGGGCCATCCCTCTAGCCCTCATACACAACATCTTAATTATCTTTATACCCCTCCCCTATCACCATCCTCCCACCTCTGAATTTCATGCATTCTGTCATTTATGTAAGGCCTATCAAGTCAAGTTAGTGTCCCCTGACGTCCTTCAGTCAGCCTATCTGGAGTAACTCCCTTAAAGAACATGACCAACATCACCTCTTCCTCACGCCTTTTGCATATATATATATATATTTTTTTAGCATTCTGTAAATTGCTGGACGATATTATGAAGTAAGCGTCCTGAAAGCAGCACGCCAATACAAAGGGTTTCAAGGATGTTTTCGTTTCATTGTCTGTTGACTTTTGAGCACATCTTGGGCTCTCAAAGTTGCCCTTCCGAGCTGGCATAATGGTAACACGCCTTTAATCCCAGCACTTGGGAGGTAGAAGTTCCGGGCCAGCCTGGTCTACACTTCAAGTTCCAGGCCAGCTGGGGCTACAGGGAGACCTAGAGAGAGAAAGAAAAGTCCGGCACGATGTGGCACACACCTTTAATCCCAGCACTCAGTAAGCAGAGGCAGGAGGATCTCTGCTAGATCCTGGCCAGCCTGGATCTCTGCAGGGTCGTGGTCAGCCTGGTCTGCAGCTGGGGCTACAGGGAGACCCTGTCTCAAAAAGACCAAAAAAAAAAAAAAGTATATTAATTATATGTAACGAGTTTATCAGGCTGGCCTTGAACTCACAGAGATCCGCCTACCTCTGCTTAGTACTGGGACTAAAGGTGTGTGCCACCACACCCAGCTAAGAGTTTTATTTTGACATTTTAATACATGTATATAAGGTATTTTGATCATATTCACTCTCCTTACCTTTTTTTGTCTTCCTTCCTCTGACACTGATCCCTATCCTCTTTCCAACTAGTAACCCTCCTATTACCAGTGGCGTGGGGTCAGATTGTTTCCCAGATTTTTGCTTCTTAACCAAAGAACTGAAAATAAAGACTCACAGATTTGCAAAAGTAGCAGGAAAACTTTATTCAAAAGCAAAGCAAGGGTACTAGAGAGATGAGTTAAGAACACTTCCTGCTCTTCAAGAGGACCTGGGTTCAGTTCCCAGAACCCACACGGTAACTAATAACTGTCCTAAACTCCAGTTTCAGGGAATCTAATGCCCTCTTCTGGCCTCTGTAGGCATTTCACACATGTGGTGCACATGGTGTACATGCAGGCAAAACACTCATTTCACACGTGGTGCTGGAGAGGTGGCTCAGTGGTTGCAGCACTGGGCACACACACACACACCCCAAATATAAAAGTATAATAAATTTTTTTTCAAAGGCTCCAGAGAGGTTTGGAGGGATAGCTCAGCGGTTAAGAGCACAGGCAACCACATGGCAGCTAACAACCATCCATAACTCCAGGTCTAAGGGATCTGACACCCTCTTCTGATCTCTGAGGGCATTGGAGGACAAGGTGCACCTACCTACATGCAGGGAATACACTCACACACATAAAATGGTTCAGGAGGTTAAAGCACTTGCCCCCAAGCCTGAGACCTAAGTGTAATAATATCTGGGATCCACACGGTGAAAAGAAAGAACCAACTTCTGAAAGTTGTCCTCTAACACCCTCACACTTGCCATGGCACATACACACACACACACACACACACACACACACACATACAATAAAGGTTATGAAAACTTTAAGGGGTTGGAGAGACGGCTCAGCAGTTAAGAGTGTACTCTTAAGCAGTTAAGAGTGTGAAAAAAGTGTGTGTGTCAGGACCTGGGCTTACTTCTAAGCTTCCTCATCAGGAGGCTCACAACTGCCTTTAACTCTAGTTTCAGGAGATCCAGTGCCCTCTTCTGGCCTCTTCAGGCACCTGAATTCACATACACATACAGACATACACACACACACACACACACACACACACACACACACACACACATAAGTAAAAATAAATATTTTTTAAAAGTTTAAAGGAGGGACTGGAGAGATGGCTCAGCAGTTAAGAACACTGCCTGTTCTTGCAGAAGACCTGGGTTTGAATCCCAGAACCCACATGGTAGCTAACAACTGTCTGTAACTCCAGTTCCAGGGAATCCAACAGTCTGTTCTGTCCTCTGTGGGCATTTCATGACACGGGTGCACTTACCTACATGCAAGCAATACACACATACACATAAAATAAAAATAATAAAATATATTTTAAAAGTTTAAAGGAAAACAAAAATAAAAACCAAGATGGAAATTCCTAGAAGATACCCAGTTGACATCTGACCTCTATACACATACACAGCATATCCAAACACATGAGTACATACCACACACATACACACACACACACACACACACACACACACACACTCACACACACACACTGCATGTGTTCCACAGTGTTCAGTGTTTGATAACCGATAGATAAATGGATGAAAGATCTAATAGAAGAAAACAAGTAAGTACACTCAAGTTACATCACCCCATCAATCATGGCAGGGCAGGGGGAATTTTATCTCCTTTTTCCAAAGGACAGGAAGATTTCAAACAAAGCTCGTGTGGATTTGCCCAGCATGTTCCACTGCAGTCTTCCTCCCCCCTAGTTCTCTTAAGACCAAACATCTCTTTCTCTAGACTGTTCTTTTATGACTCCATCATCCTGGCTATTGCCAGGACACAGCTCCTTAAAGACCTTCCTTGTCTCAGAGAAGTGAAAAATCCACAGAGCAAAGCAAAAAGACTTGTGATATTCTTTATCTCCAAAAATTGAATCTTACTTTATTTAATAAAAACCTGTGGGGGGTGTGCCTAGAATGATGGCTCAGCAGTTAAGAGCACTGGCTGCTCTTCCAGAGGATCTGAGTTCAATTCCCAGCACCTACATGGTAACTAACAACCACCTGTAACTCCAGTTCCAGGGGATCTAATGCCCCCTCTGGCCTCCATGGGCTTTGCATGACACATGATACACTTACATACATGTAGGCAAAACACTCATAACACATAAAATAAAAAGAAATAAAAACAATTTTTTCCCAGATACATGTTTCTTTCTAATAAGTTGACCATTACATTTCCAAATTTCTGAAATGGCCAACAGACCATAGAAAGACATTTCTTTGGGCACCTGCTTAAAACCAACAACTTCAACAAACTGTTGGCCTTGTTTCAGGGCCAACAAAAACAATTTTTTTAAAGCCTGGTGGGGGCTGAAGAAATGCCTCAAGCAGTTAAGAGCACTGGCTAGTCTTGCAGAGGACCTGGGTTCAGTTCTCAGCACCCACATGGGGCTAACAACTGTCTACAACCCCAGTTCCATGGGATCCAACTCCCTTTTCTAGCCTCCATGGGCATTGTAGTCATGGGTTCACTTACATACACACAGGCAAAACATATGCATAAAATAAAAAGAAATAAAATTAATAAGCCTGATGCCTCGTGCCTATAATCCCAGCACTTAGAAAAAGCTGAGACAGAATTATTGTGAGTTTGAGGCAAGCCTGGGTTATACAATGATTTCCAAGCCAGAAATCTCAGAAAAAATAAAATGGGGCAGGGGAGAGGAAGAGGAGAAAGAGGAGGAGGAAGAGGAAGAGGGAAGAAAGAGAAATGAGATTGAGGTTTTTGCAGATACAGTTTATTAAGAGCCTCGCTGTGATTCAACGGGGCCTGACCTAGGTCATTTTGCTCCTATGGGCTTCTTACTACCTTAAAAAAGTTACTCAGCTAGGTGTGGTGGTGACTGCCTATGCTCCCAGCACTCAGTAGACTGAGGCAGGAGGATCAATGTGAGTTTTATTAGCCAGAGCTAATAAAAAGGACCTGTCTCAAAAGCAAAATGAAATAAACAAAAGCAAAAAAAAATCAGTAAGTTGTTGTCCATCATGATTATCCTACTGTGCTCTAGAACATTAGAAGCTATTCTTTCTGTCCAAATGCACCCAACTACCAATCAATGAAGTAAGTTTTTAGTATCACCATTAAGACCCTTTAAATTTAAGGTCCTCTACTTGTCCTTAGTTTTCATGAGTGGCCAAGGAGTCACCTTAAAATATTTGCCAGCCACTACTTGGACACAGATTTATGGCTGTGAGTCACAGATGCTCAGACTTCCTTATTGTCTTTGGTAATGGCTCTGGGATGGAAGGTGTAGATAGGGGCCAAGGTCAGTGTGACCTGGTGATTTCTGCCCAACCTGCTATTTAGCCATTTGGTCACATGGAGGCACGGCACACCACCCAGGTCCAGGAAGGGCCTACTGACCAGAACTAGTAGCTAGAGTTGAAGGTGTGGCAACAGGAAGGCCCCACTGTGATGTGGCCTGTGACAGGTACTATGAAGTAGGTGGTACCCCACCCAACTGGCTGAGCCAACTACAGCAGCCTGCCCTTCCCACTCCCTGACACCATCTACCTGACCTAAGCTTTACCATATTGCTGCCACTTCTGGGAGCCTGTACAGTGGTGGGGCCATTCCATAGCCCTGAGTGGGAGCCAGTATAGGACCTGGTATCCCAGGATCAAAGCTGCAGGGATCCCCGGTGCTGTGGCAACCTGCTTGTCTTCTGCCTTTTTCTGTTCTGGCAGATCCAACAGTATTGGCACCGGATCACCAGGACTAGCAAGAGGGATGCCATCAAGGTACAGGGGCCCCTACTTTCTCATGGTGATTGCTAGCCACTCGCTACATGGGCCTTGTTCTATGCCTTGTACACCAGAGGTGAACCAAAGAACTCAGACGGGTTAGTGTAAGCATCGTCTAGGCCTCAAGCCCAGAAGTCACCCTGGGCTTATCTTTTCCTCACTCCACACACTCAATCCATTTGCAAGTTCTAGGAGCTCTACTTATAAACAAGATCTCAAGTCTGATCACTTCTGGAAACCTCATGACACCACCTGGACCATGGTAATAGCTCTCTGCCTGGTATAGCCTTCTTTTTCTCTTAACCAAGGTTTCATCCAAGGATAATATGCACATGTAAATGGCAAGTGTATAGATCAGTGACCTTTCATAAACTTAACACACCCATGATCTGGCTCAATGACTCAGACGGTAAGGGTGATTGCTACCAAGCCTGATGACTTAAGTACTATCCCCAGAATCTACATGATAGAAGGAGAAAACGAGCTCCCCAAAATTGGCCTCTGATTTCCACATGCTGTAACACACACACACATACACACACCACCACCACCACCAACAACAAACATCATTAGCTAGGCATGGTGATACAAGCCTGTAATCCCACCACTCAGGAGGCAGAGGTAGAAGGATTGCCCCAAATTTGAGGCCAGCCTGGTCTACATAGCTAGTTCCAGGCAACCAGGGCTATATAAACCTATTTCAAACGATATAAAAGGAAGATGAAAGAAACAATTAGGCTAAGGGTGTAGCTTAGCAGTACACATATCTACCATGTATAAAGCCCTGGCTCCAAATACCAGCAATGAAATCAGGCACGGCAGCTCCTACCTGTTATCCTTGCTTAGGAGGCTGAGGCAGGAGGATTACTAGAATGAGATCCTTTCTCAGGCTCTGCTGAAAAAAGTGTGTGTGTCAGGGGCTGGGGGACAAACAGAAACAGAGAAACAGAAGAGTGAGAAGAGACCTGTGCTGGATGCTTTAGTGTCAACTTGACACACCTGGGTTGAGGGAGCCTCAATCAGGGAATTGCCTCTATTGGATTGGCCTGTGGCCATGTCTGTGGGCATCTTCTTGATTGTTGAGTGATGTGGGAGGGCCCAGCCCACTGTGGGTGGTACCACCCCTGGGCAGGTGGGTCTGTGTTGCATAAGAAAGCAGGCTGAGCAGGGGCGAGGGGAGCAAGCCAGTAAGCGGTGTTCCTCCATGGCCTGTGTTCCAGTTCCTGCTTCCAGGTTCCTGTCCTGAGTTCCTACCTTGGGCTCCCTGATGAACTGTGACCTGGGAGTTGTAGGCTGAATAAACCCTTTCCTCCCCAAGTTGGTAGTAGTCAGAGTGTTTTGTCACAACAATGAAGAAACAAACCAGAACAAGACCCAAAACCCTAAACCCAAACCCTAGCACTATGTGATCCTGGGTTCAAACTCCAGTACAAAAAATATTGCCAGAAGTCCCAAAATATGCACTCACAACTCTGATGATAGCATAGACCTATGTAAAATCACATGCTGGACGTGGTAGTACATGCCTTTAACCCCAGCACTCTGGAGGCAGAAACAGGTAGGTGAATCTCTGTGAGATCAAGTCTAGCTTCTACATAGTGAGTTCTAAGCCAGCTGGGGCTGTAGGAAGACCTTGTCTCAAAAACAAAATAAAACCAAACACAAAACAGATCATAGCTCTTTCCTACTCAAACTCTTGCAGTGGCTTCTGTGAATAAACTCCCTACCAATCTCAGAATAAAACCAAAACAACTACAGTTCCAAGGACTGAGACGATCTGTCCTGTCCGTCTCTGACCTCATCGGCCTGTTGCTGGCTCCACTCTAACCATATTAACCCTCCTCTTGCTTTCCTTCCTTTCCCTGTTCCTGTTCCTCCTCCTCCACTTCTTTCCTTTCCCTCCCTCCTCCTCCAATCCTCCCTCCACCCCCCCCCCTTTTTAGAAAAATCTTTTTGAGACAAGATCTCCCTGTAGCCCCCGCTGGCCTGGAACTCACTATGTAGAACAGGCTGGCCTCGAACTCACAGCGAACCGCCCGCCTCTTCTGGGACTAC